CTGGCGCCGCGGGCCGTGGTGGAGTGGCACGAGGACTCTGTGGGAGCTGGGAGTGCTAACGGGAGTCGGGCCGGAGCCGCCGCGGAGCGGCCGTGGAGGCGAGAGCCCCTGTGGACCAACTGTGCCTACGTGGGGGACGTCACGGACATCCCTGGCGCCGCCGTGGCCATCAGCAACTGTGACGGTCTGGTAAGGCAGGGGCTCACCGCCCTGTGCACGGCTTTCCTTGCTTCTGGCTGCGCTTCGCTAATGATGTCGCTCACACAGCTTAGTTTCTTAAATCCCATAGAAAGTACTGATGTGGACAGTCCTGCTGCTTTCCTCTGAGGGTGGTGAGCAAAGCCCTTCATGTCACAGGTGTGGGAGAGGCAAAGCTAACCTCTCTCGTTGGGTTTCGTTTTTGCTTGCGTGAGGTGTTACAGACAGGAAAATTACTAATGAGGACATTTTCAAACTCAAAAGGTGACTGAATGCAGGATTTGGCATTCTAGTCGTCAGCATGTGCTGCTCAGGCAGCAAAGTCATAGGCTGCTAAATCATAGTCCAGGAATAGCAGCTTCAGGTGTTAAAGGGTTTATTTATAAAGTGCCACGCTGTTTGTTCCCTTAGATGCAGTTTTGTCTCATCGGGAGGTGTGATGTGGGAATCGAGCAGTTCACATCTGTACAGGGTTTGCTCCCAGCTGACCTTGCTGTGCTGGTTGGGCACAGGGGGGATTTGGTGGTGGCTCAGCAGATGCACAGATCCCAGAGTGAAAGGTTGGGCAGATCTGGAGCCCACATCCCATCCATTAGTTCAGTCAAACACTCCCCTTGTGCTCCACAAGGCACAGCAGCAGTGCTGGAACTCACCTGCAGCATCCAGGGAGATTCGTGTCGTGGTTACCCTCCTGCTCTTTGGGGCAGGAATCAGGAAGAAGCCTGCAACAAGTTTCCCTTCTTGGAAATGGGCTTCCCTCTCCCCACCACGTGCCACATGGTGGTGATTTGATTCCATTTTGCCATGAATCCTGGCTAGGAGAGCTCCCACCTCGGAGCGTGCCATAGTCACTGTGTGAGGAACTGCAGAAATGTCTCTAAATCCCCATTCAGGCCACAACTTCTCCACTTCCCTTCCTTACAGGAGGGAAATCCTGGTGGTGATTGCCTCAGAGGTGATCACTAATGTCAGTTGGGTGTGTTTTGGGATATTTTGGTGGGTTGTTTTAGGAGAATCTGTTACCAGTGTACTGTTTACAAAGGCCAAGCAGACAGCTGCCTGGCTAGAGGACGTTTTCCGTGGAGGCCTGCTGAATCGAGACCCTGGGGCTGGGAGCTGGGTTTTAGCAGTAGTCCTGAATGAAGTTGTTGTGTTGAGACAGCACGTGAAGACAAGAAATTGGATTAAATGGAATGAGATTAAGAAGCACAGCAGAGATTGCCATGTGGCTGGCAAGCTGCTCCAGCTCTGTGTTCAGCCAGCTGAAACGGAGCCAGAGAGGGACTTGTTGGAGGGGGAATGGCTTCCCACTGCCAGGGGGCAGGGCTAGATGGGATGTTGGGAAGGAATCCTTCCCTGTGAGGTGCTGAGGCACTGGCACAGGTTGCCCAGAGAAGCTGTGGCTGCTCCATCCCTGGAAGTGCTCCAGGCCAGGTTGGATGGAACTTGGAGCCACCTGGGCTACTGTTCCTTCTTTTGCCATAGCACCCAGGAAAAGCTGCTGTGCTTTCCATGGTTTTGGGGACTGAACTAGGAGAACATGGGCTTTTTCTTTGAGGAGTGGAGTGGGTAGATGCTCCTGAGTCACTCTTGTCTTTGTTCATCTTGACCCAAGCATTTGTAACAGCCTTTTGGAGCTCTAATCATCTGAGTGTGAAATAAGTAAATAATCCTGAAGATTTATTTCATGTTTTTCCTCCTGGCATCTCCAAGGGTAGCAGAAGGAACTTGCAGTTACCATTCCAGGCCTCTGTTGCTGTACGACACGTCTCTCAGTCCAGCTAGAATATCTGATCCTCAGTGTATCCTGAAGAGCTGAAGAGTGGGATAACAGGGCTTAACAGAAACTGGAACAAGAGTGAGCAATCCTAGGGCCATATGTGTGTGTTGGGAAGATTTATTTTGGACTCAGAGGAATTCAGACACTCTCCAGAGCAGCCAGCTGAGTTCTGAGCTCCTGGGGCAAAGAGAAGGGAATCACTGGGGTAGCGATTCGCACTTAGAAGTTTGATGCCATAAGTAACAGAAAAAGAGCACCTGGATGTTAAATTTTGATTGCTTGGTTGTAAATGTATGGAATAATTAGCATTTGCCCATTGTCTCTTCCTTAAACTACCATGTTAAACCCAAACTATTTGGACTCTCTTGTTCTGAAATAGTTTGCATATCTACTTTTGCAGTGGAAGTTGTCTGTGTGCTGTCAGTTTTGCAAATTCCTATCTTCACATCTGCTTAATGTCCCTTGGAAATAGCTCTGTTTATGTCCAAACCCCACACGGGTGTGCCTGCACTTGTCAGGACAGAGGAGCACTGCGTTAGTCATGGAGGGTCAGGAACACGGTGCTTCCACAGGTTTCTGCTGGATGTTTCTGCTGCTGGTTGGGCAAAATGGCAATATTTATTGTCAGAATACTTAGGGAGTTTCTAAAGTTGCAGCCGAACTTGCGGCTGAGGTAACTACTTGTCCCTGCTCCCAGACAGTGTTCTTGTGTCTGACTGATGGGGAAGGTTCCTCTGCTGAGATACCAGGATGCTCCAGGAGGTTTAGTGACTTAACGACTCAGAACTTCCCAAAGTTTCTCTGACCTTGCAGTTTGTTGTTTAGGAGTTGCTGCTTTGCATCTTGAGGAGCAGATGGTTGGAAAAGTGGGACGATAGCTGCAGGGTGTTCCAGGAGGTGGAACCAGCTTCAGCACAGGTTTGGAGGTGACACTTGGCACAGGTTGGTCATGCTGCTGCAATGGTGTGTGAGCTGTGGAAGGTGCCACCCTCAAAAACCCTCTGCAGATGGTTCAGGCTGTCAAAGAAGAGAAGGCAGCAAGCCTAGAAACTAGAAATCCCCATGTTTTAACCTCCTTCCTGCCTTGTGCTGTAGACAGAACTGCCTCAGTTTCTCAATGCCTTTTCTTCGTTTTAAATGAAAGGTCCTTTGGTCTCTGAACCTGTAATCTCTGGTGGCAAGAAAAATGGGACTTTCTGTTTATTGGAAATTATTTGGGGTTTTTTTTGTTTGTTTGTTTGCTGGAATTCCATGGCCTGCAAGCCCAGGGCTGTGTACCCTCACTGGGAGGTGCCACTGTTAGCAGTGGAGTATCCCCTGCCTGCCTTGCAGTGCTGAGCTGCCAGAGCAGGGAAACCCTGGAAGACAAACCCACTGTCAGGAATAAAAAAGCACCAAATCTTCTGAAATCTGTCATTTGTGACAGATTATTCCTCACTTGCTTATTGCCATCCTTTGTTCCTAAGGATATGGAGACGTGAAGAAATGTGTGTGTGCACGTTCCCAGCTTTGGCAGATCTGTTGGGAGTACAGGCTGGAGTATCTCTGGCTAGGGATACTTGCACAGGCTTTAACCTTGGTTCAGGAAGAGCTTTAAAACTCTGCTGGACTTCAGGCTGGTGGGATCTGAGGAGTGTCAGGACATCTTGATTTGTTTCAAATTCTTTTTGTCACCACTCTCCTATCAGGACTGAAGCACAAAGGCTTATTTCATGTTCCTGTGTTGGTACTAAGGTAAGTGTGATTTCCCCCAAGCTGGCAAGGCAGAGTTCCTAAATGGAGAAACAGCTTTCTGGGAGCTGCTAGTGTTTATCCTAGGGTGTTGGAGACCAACACCTGAACTGCTGCTGAGCATCTGGTGGTGTAGTGCACAGGAAACTCTTGCTGGGTTTGGGATTGGGATTGTCAGGCCTGCAGGGTCTCTCTCAGTCCAGGCTGGGGGCTGTGGCTGAGTGGATGTCTGGTGATCCAGGAGGGCAAAGCCCAGGAAGGCAGAACAAACTCCAGGGAGATGGAAGCAGCCCCAGGCGTGTGCTGCTCTGGCAGGTGGCAGCAGTGCTTTTGGCTGATTTAACACTGATGACTGTGCTCCCCTGCCCTACTGTGCTCTTCCCACAGTAATTCCCTCCTTGCCCTGAACTCCTGTGACCTGCCCTGCCTGCTCTCATCCCTGGCTGGACTTGGCAGGACTTACGAGCTGAGGCTGATGGGCTGCAGCTGCCCTGGGCACACAGACCCTGCTGGTGCCCTGGCCTGGCCTCCCCCTCTCACAGAGCAGCCCTTGGGCTTTGGCTTCAGCCCTGTCACCACTCCACTGTGAGCACTTCCCAGAGGCTAATACACACTCTTCAGCCCTAGTCATCTGCAGCAAAGAGGATTTCTCAAAGTTCAGGAGCTCCAAACTTGGAAAAATGTAGTGCTGTCGCTGAGTCAGGACTTTGGGATCGTTGAGTAGAACATGGAGGGGAGGAGCAGTGATTGGGAAGGGTGGGTTGGGGATTGAGGGCGAGTGTCAGTATACTGTGAAAAAACAGAGACATTATTTTGTATGTCTGGTTTGCTTCTCCTTGGAATTGTCACTCAAAGCAAATGGGCACTTCACCCTTACTTACAGAGTATAACTGAAGTTGATGCAGATGGTTCCTCAAGCTCTTTTATTTCCTTTGGTTTGTTTTTATAAGTTGTTGTAACAGTGTTGGATTTGGGCTAATGGTAGATTTACCTCGTGTCTGCTCCTGCCTTGTGTTTCTCCCATTCTCACTTACAGCCAGTAGTAGGAAGTAGTAAACAGGGTGATGCTCAGGGCTCCCCCGTGGTTGTATGCTTTCCCTCTTCAAGGCTGATCAAATCACTAAGTACTGCCCTGAAACGCTCATTTTCCTGCAGGCTGCAGCTCCCTTTGTTCCAAGGGAAAAATGTATGGATACACAAGCAGTCCTGTGTAGACTTGATGTAGGCCAAGTGGGTCAAAATATAAGAAGCTGCACAAAATACCTCTCATAGCACAGAAATATGCAGTGGGTTTGGATAACAGGTATTCCAAATAGAAAAAGATGTTGTGTATTCTCCAACTGGAGCACAAAAGCATGGGGATATGTGAGAACTGTGTTTCCTCCCCTCTCCAATAGCCTTCCCCAGGCATGATTTCTCAGGGGGAGAAGGCAAAGGCCAGAGCAGGCACCAGGAGCAGACCCCGGCGAGGGATTTGCAG